AGAAAGTGCTTTTGAATCTAACAACCACAGAAGCCTCTGAGGCCTGTTGTATGTTTACTCTAACATACAAACCTTTAGCCTGGTCTCTACTGGCCAGAACTCAAGGCAGCTCCACACACTCAGTGCAGCCATTTACGCACAAGTTCTATGTCCGTGCAACCAGGGACAATAGGAGCAAGTGCTTTCCCCAGATTAAAATGTATTGATATTATCCTACAAAGTCAATATCTGTAGGTGTAAGTTTCTGCCTGTAATGGCTAGGGGAATTTTCTTCCTTCTAATATTCAGCAAAAAAAAAAAAAACTGTTGAAACTTTCATTCAGTTATATGTTGCAGAAATTTTTCCTTTGTGGTCTTTATACAAAAGTGGAAAATTAAAATTAATTGCATTTGCAGCTATTGTTTTATAAAAGTTATAAGCATCTCTTCAATGAGACCATTCTTCCAAGGACTTTCTTAGGCATATTCTGAAAATAACTTGGGAAAAAGCATTTCTGCAGGAGACTCTGAAAATAGTCCCTATAGCAAGATTTCTAATTATCCAATGCCATGATTCAGTAATTTAAAACCTCCAAGCCTAGCTTGAATTCCAGTTGTTTTCCTCAGTTAAACAGGACTGAGTTTTCTTTTCTGGAGACAGAGTTTCCGTCTCTTGCCCCCGCTAGAGTGCCATGGTGTCAGCTCAGCTTATAGCAACTACAATGTCTCAAGTAGCGGGAGTACAGGTGCCGGCCGTGATGACTGGCTAATTTTTCTGTTTTTTAGTAGAGACTGTGTCTCCATTAGCTCAGTTTGTCTCAACTCCTAACCTCAAGCTATCTTCACGCCTTGGCCTGGCAGAGTGCTAGGATTACAAGCGTGAGCAGCCACACCCTGCCTACCACCTGAGATTTTTGACAGCTGCTCATTTCCAAGCACATTTCCACTAAGTGCCTGTCCCATGGATGTCCCTAATAGTTGACCAAAGAGATGTTTATTTTCTTATCCAGTGCTAGGCTTTCTCAACACAGACCCAGATAGCAAAAATGTCCAGTAGATTGTGTCTACTTTTTTCCTGCCAATTCATATTTCAATCTTTAAGCTTCTGGTCAACTAAAGCTAATTCAAACACAGAAATTTCTAGAGGTTGTGTTGATCCATGAAGTTTGGCCTGTTTTCAATTACTGAATAAGAAAAATCATTTTTTTTTTTTTTTTT